TCATCCTTCTTCCTCCTCCCCTCCTCCTCCCCCTCCTCCTCCTCCTCCTCCTCCTCCTCCTCCTGATTTGGTGATCCAAGGATGCCAAGGTGAGCTTTGGATCATAGCATCACATTACCCAGCATCCTTTTTGCATCTTTTGTAGACCATATGTATGACTCTCCTTTTATCAGATATTTGAAGGAAGGGAGAGACAAAGCTCTTCCTCTGTCAGAAGGGAGACTAAAAGTTTAGGCCAGTGGTCACTAAGCAGGGATCTGCGAGAAAATGTGGATGGTCCACAGAAAAATTATTTGCATTTTTGTATTGCACTAAATACTATTTACCTTTTTTAAAAAAAAAAATCATATTAGTGGTCCGCGGGATTTAAAATTATGACTGTAAGTGGCCCAGGAGGTCCGAAAGATTTTGTTGACCCCTGGTTTAGATGGAGACTTTTTCACTGAGAGTTCTCCCCTTCCGCATTCAATCTGCTTCTCATTTGCAGCGGCCCCTTGTTATTGCTCCAGCCACATTTCCAAAACTTCTTGGAGTTGTCCGTGTGAAACCCAGGGTGGCTGGTTTTATTAAACAGATGCCCTGCAAAGACACGAGGTTTAGGCAATCACACCAAGGGTCAGCCCCGATTAGCATCTGGTGAGCAATCTCTTAAACAGCAGAAGAGGAAAGTTTGAAAAAAAAATCGGGAAGCCGAGAGGGAGCCAACAAATGTTCCATTGTGACATTAACCCAGACATAACTTTGGACAGAGAAATGAATAGGTGTTGCGTCTACGGACGCAGCCAATGAGTGAGCTACGTGTGGATTGTCTGATGTATCACAGCAGCTATGTGGAACTGGGCCTCCGTTGTGTGCTTCCTTCTCCAGAATGTTGCGCTTAACTGAGTGTTACCTTACTTTGATATTTTCCATGCGGGGTTTGGCATTCTGGTGTTTATACGAGCTGACAAGGAGAAAATAGATCGGTTCAAGCTTCCTTTGTCTGCAAAGACTTCAAAAGATAACACCACAGGTCGCCTCCATGGGCCAGCTAGATAGAATGTTATGGAAGATGGCTAGTTTAGCTAAAGTGGTAGCGGACAGTTTTTGGATTCGGGGAGTCCTGGTCCTTCCTGTCAGGCCTGCTGCCATATTCCTTTTGGATCTTTGGCCTGCCACACTTTCTTTTATCCTATTATGCATTTTCTATTGTGTGAAAATGGGAGCGGGGATTGTACGGAGTTAGATGAAATGTAGCCATAACAACATTCTTTCTAGAAAGCCAAGGTCATCCTTNTTATCTATCTCAATTCATCCATCCACCCATCCACCCATTCATCCCTCCATCCACTCATCTCTCTCTCTCTTCTACCTGCCTACCTACCTCATCTACCTACCTACCTACCTACCTACCTACCTACCTAATCTACCTAATCTATCTAATCTATATCTAATCTATCTAATCTACCTACCTATTTACCTGTCTACCTATCTCAATTCATCCATCCATAGCATGTATGTGCTAGTCATTCCCAACTCTGGGGGGCACTGCTCATCTCCATTTCAAAGCTGAAGAGCCAGTGCTGTCTGAAGATGTCTCCATGGTCATGCGGCTGACATGACTCAACACCAAAGGCGCATGGAACGCTGTTATCTTCCCACCAAACGTGGTCCCTATTTTTCTACTTGCATTTTTTACGTACTTTCGAACTGCTAGGTTGGCAGAAGCTGGGACAAGTCACAGGAGCTCCCTCCGTTACATGGCACTAGGGATTTGAACTGCCGAACTGCCAACCTTTCTGATTGACAAGTTCAACATCTTAGCCACTGAGTCTCTGAGCCTCTGCGTCCCTTAGCAAATGCTTAGCAAATTAAATTTATATAAAACCTACTAACACTAAGAGCTGAGTTAGAATATTGATGAAGCAACACCTGTATATCACTGGAGCTCTCCTTGGTCCTGTAAAATGTGATGCTTCTCTCCTATCAGGGATCTGGTCATTAAATGAATCTATTCAATATATGCTCTTGAAGTCTTGAAGTTTCCCAATATTTTCTTCTGTTTCTTTCTTTTTGCTTTTTAGTGGGGTATCTTCACCCTTGAAATGTGGTGGGAGGTAGAGATTTCCTTCCCTCTGCAATTTGCCTGGATGTCTCTAATTTACTTGATTGGAAGAATTATCTCCTTACATCACTTGAAACTTCATGGAAGCCTTGAAAACAGGAAACTGGCCAACCCTACGAGAGATGATTGTGCATAATTGCACACTGACACACATCCCATATAATCAACGCTGTGCGAGCAACCTTGCAACGTTCAGATGAGAATTTGATTCCGGGAAAATGTACTTCATCATTCCATTTTGATGATTTTGCATGCCTCTCCACACGCCATGCTCGCACACAAATGCGCACTTCTGCCTGTCACAAGTCATGGGCCCAAACGAACCCGTGGCTAAGCTAATGATTCCAAGATGTGCTCTTAAGCTGGAGATAGGAGCTGCGCATAAAATATTTAACTGTGGGGAACCTTGAAAGAGTTCTTCGTGTCTTGTTAGTATGTTTTGATTTATTGAAGGGGAGGTGAAGGGTTAAAAAACATCTGAGCTGCATAGGAAGCAGAGATTCCAAGCAAGGACAGTGTGTGAAACAAATTTGCTAGCAGAAGTCAGGATTAATAATGGATAGTGTTCTGAGCTAGGCTTCCTCAAAAAGCAGAAAGCAGATTCCTGGTCCCGACAAAACCCCTTTTATTAAATGAATGTGAATTCCTCTCATTCCCATTCAGCCAAGACCTAGCAAACAATCTTTCAAAGGAGTATTTATGACCACAGACCTTATCTAGATTGGAAATCTGCCATGCAAATATTTTCCAAATGAGATGCTGTGGATGGGAAGACTGGGCACAGAGTCTCGGAGATTCACGGACAGATCTTCACACTCCTGAAATGAATTGACTGAATGAATTGTTTCCTACAAAAGCCCCCTCCCTTTTCACTCCTCTTTTATTTCCTAGGGGAGGGGCCAATCACCTTCCACCTGTGGCTTTACTCCCAAGTCCACCCTGATTTCTGAGTTGTTCTTTTCTTCTGGCAGCTCTGCGCATGCGCACACTGGGAACAGGCTCCAGTTATTCCTCTGCCTCACTGCTTCTAGCTCTGTAGGCACCGGATCTCTCCACATCTTCCTCCTCCTCTTCCTCTTCCTCCTCCTTCTCTTCCTTCTCCTCCTCCTCCACCTCTTTCTTCTCTTCCTCCTCCTCCTCCTCCATCTCTTCTTTCTCTTCTTCCTCCTCCTCTTCCTCCTCCTCCTCTTCCTCTTCCACGTCTTCCTCCTCTTCCTTCTCTTCTTTCTCTTCTTCCTCCTCCTCCTCCTCTTTCTCCTTCTCTTCTTCTTCCTCCTCCTGCTCCATGTCTTCTTCCTCCTCCTCCCTTTTCTTCCTCTTCTTCCCCTCTCTCCTTCTCCTCCTCCTCCTCCTCCTCTTCCTCCTGCTCCTTTTCTTCCTCCTCCACGACTTACTCCTCTTCCTCCTTTTCTTCCTCTTCTTTCTATTCCTCCTCTTCCTCCTTCTCCTCCCTTTTCTTTCTCTTCTTCCCCTTCTTCCTCCTCCTGATAGATTTGGTCTTGAATACATTGCCTCCAGGGCACTCCTATAACTTCTAAATAAGAAAACGCATCCCTTTTCCCAAAGCGCCAACCAGCTGCCAGGAAAACATGGCTTGCGGCAAAGATAGAACCAGACTGAAAATGGGGTGGAATTTTTCATCTGTAGAATAACGGAAAGAGGCAAGTGGGGAGTAGGGGGGTGCAGGAGAGAGACAAATATGCACACATGCATCACACATGTGGATAGCTGGGTCGATCGAAAGGTGTTGGAGTATCCCTGGGGTGGAGAAATCCTGCCTCCCCTTCAGTGGGGAGGCACATCAATATTCAAAACTTAAACCACGCCGTGCATTGTGGAGAGAACACCCACTGCTAAAAACTCTGGAGAGAATTTTTTTCTCCTCCTCCTCCTCCTCCTCCTCCTCCTCCTCCTCCTTGAGTCACAAACTTGAAGTGATTTCCCTGTTCACACATGGTTTGGTGCTGAAGGGAGGGAGGGGAGAGGGGAAAAGGGGAGGTGGTCATTTTTTTTTCCTCTTCTGGCCATAAACTGCGTGCAAATCCTCTTGGGTGTTTGCCCCTATATATATGTAAGCATTTGCGCCTGTGTAACTTCAGAGGGAAACTGTGCCTTTAATTTGCCGACCGCCTGGGTCTCCGAGGCATCCCGTTACAGTGGAAATGAGCTAAGGAGGACCTCGCTTACAGAAAGCAACAGAAGGTGGGAGCTCTCGTCGCAGTTTCTGTGGCTCTCAAACGCTGCTTCTCCTCCTCGCTTTTGTTATCTACGAGATGGGACAACTCGGCTGACTTTGGAGAGGAACCACAAGCATCCCATGCAGATCTGACTGAGTGAGAAGAAGAAATAACAACGTATTGAACGACAAGGAGGTACGGCTCTTTTTTCTCTCCTTTTCCCCCTCTCCTTCACACATCCATCCATCCACCCACTCACCCCATAACGTTGTGAGTTTTAGGACTGTGGGACGTGGGGATAATTCTGTTTAAAATGCCCCTTTTGGGGGGGTTGTAGGGAAATGAATAGGAATCATGCATGATGGTGATTGAGGTTTTACTACATCTTTGATGACATGTAGAGTTTATATTACAGGGACGCGGTGGCTCAGGGGCTAAGACGCTGAGCTTGCCGATCAGAAAGGTTGGCAGTTCAGTGGTTCGAATCCCTAGCGCCGTGTAACGGAGTGAGCTCCCGTTACTCGTCCCAGCTTCTGCCAACCTAGCAGTTCGAAAGCACGTAAAAAATGCGAGTAGAAAAATAGGCACCACCTTTGGTGGGAAGGGAACAGCGTTCTGTGCACCTTCGGCATTGAGTCATGCCGGCCACATGACTTTTGATACGTCTTCGGACAGTGCTGGCTCTTCAGCTTTGAAAGGGAGATGAGCACCGCCCCCTAGAGTCGGGAACGACTAGCACAGATGTGCAAGGGGAACCTTTACTTTTACCTTTAAAGTCTACATTGGACTAGAAGACCTCCAAGGTCCCTTCCAACTTTGTCATTTGGTTATTAAGTCTGGAACAAGAGACACAATTCCCCCACCCCCTCCTATTGTGTTTTGTTGTGTCCTGTTGGATGGGATTAGTCCTCAATTGTCAGGTTGCTGCTGTAGATGCTTGAAGGAGCCATGTAAATCCATACAGGAAAAGCAAGCCACTAAGAAGGAACGCTGATGTTAGAGAGGGGATGATGATGTGAGCCCATCCTGCTATTCTGACTTTTTTTTTGGGGGGGGGGGTTGTTGGCTTTGTCCATCTTTCAGAACGGTGGGTGGTGTGGCTCTCAAAACAACTGCGTGCGAAGTTGTGTTTCGGTAGCCGCTTTCCATCCTGGGCTTGAAAATGGGTATTGGTTTCAGAATGGAAGAAACCCTCTGTCCCACCTTGCAGAGAAGGGAGATTAAAAGAGGCAGCTGAAGTCATCTCTCTTTCATTTTCCCTTTTGTTGTTGTAGTAGTAGTAGTAGTAGTAGTAGTAGTAGTAGTAGTAGTAGTAGTAGTAGTAGTAGTAGTTGTTGTTCTCCTTCTTCTTCTTCTTCTTCTGCTTCTTCTTCTCCTTCTTCTTCTTCTTCTTCTTCTTCTCCTCCTCCTCCTCCTCCTCCTCCTCCTCCTCCTCCTCCATTCCAAGGATTCTATCTTGGTAGATTCCTCTTCCTCCTCNAAACAAACAAACAAACAAACAAACAAACAAACAAACAAACAAATAACCTATTGTTTTTTTTATGGACTCCTTTGCTGAGAATAATAAAGGCGGCTCAGTAGCTAAGACACTGAGCTTGTCGATCAGAAAGGTCAGCAGTTTGGCGGTTCGAATCCCTAGCGCCGCGTGACAGAGTGAGCTCCCGTGACTTGTCCCAGCTTCTGCCAACCTAGCAGTTTGAAGCATGGTAGGAAAGGAACATTTCTCAGGACATTTCTCCTTAGTTCTAGGTTGGTTCTTTCCCTGATAAATTAACAGAATAACAGAGTTGGAAGGGACTTTGGAAGTCTTCTAGCCCAACCCTTGCTCAAGCAGGAAACTCTATCCCATTTCAGACAAATGGCTTTCCAATCTCTTCTTCAAAGCCTCCGTTGATGGCAAGCCATTCCGCTGGTTAATTGTTCTCAACTGTTGGGAAATTTCTCCTTAGCTTTAGGTTGCTTCTTCCTGTGATGAGATCAACCACCTTCTCACTCTACAAGGTATGCACCATCCGCAGCTTTTGGAACAAATGGAAAACCTTTCTTCATCTGACCCAAGATGACAGGGATTGGGGGAGGGAAGACAAAGTCCAGCTTGAGGAATTCAGAGCTGAGTCCACTCACAGCTGAACTCCTTTTTCCGGCATCCCTCTTGCTTGGAGACGGGAGCTGGAATGCTTGTGCGGTGAAGTCACCTGGCTTTTCCACAAAAACTACTGAAGTTTTGGCTTCCATTATGACTCAGTGCATTCTGAGGGCAGACAATGGTGGATCTCCTGGGTATTACCCCAAACATGGACCTGAGGAAGAGAGAGAGAGAGCGGGAGGGAGGAGGGAAGGAGGCAGGAGGGAGGGAGGAAGGACAAAAGAGGAAAAGAAAGGAAGAAAGAAAAGAAGAAAGGAAGGAAGGAAGAGGGAGGGAGGGAGGCAGGCAGAATAGAGGAAGGAAGGAACAGGGAGGGAGGACAGAGAAAGATAGGAAGGAAGGAAGGAAGGAAGGAAGGAAGGAAGGAGAGGAGAGGAAGGAAGAAGGAAGGAAAGAAGAAGTTGGGAGGGAGGAAGAGAGAAAGTGGAAAGAGATAGATAGATAGATAGATAGATAGATAGATAGATAGATAGATAGATAGATAGATAGATAGATAGNTAAGGGTATGGCTAGCTGATGAGAGCTAAATAGCTTGAAATAGATCTATACTAGTCTCCCTTTATTTATTTATCAGCACAAATAAAAAAACACAAATATACATATATACATATATATACATATATATATTAGATAGATAGATAGATAGAGATAGAGATAGAGATAGAGATACAGACAGACAGACAGACAGACTTTTTTTTGTCCTCAAAGAATAAGAACCAACCCATTCTTGTAAAAATCCCAATAAAAACTTCATTTATCGTAGGAATGAGCTAGGAACTGTGTCCTAAACGAGAAAAGTGTTGGTTTTATTAGGTGCCACTTTCTGTACTGTGCCGAAACTGGCACAGGAGGCAGCTTCCTTCTTTTGTTTCTGACTGAGTTTCCCGGCTTTTGGACAGCCAATTCATTTGCTCCTCCCACCTAATTGATTTGCTATCATGTCCTGATTTCAGCTGAATGTCCTGGGGATGACTTGACGTATCGCCTTCCTTTTCACCTCCTCTTTTCATTACAGTCCCTGTTTGTGTTGTGTTGCAAGCGGATCCCTTCCCAATTCAGGGCCCATCCCTTTCATGCAGGTCATTCCAGTGTTGTGTGTGGTATTGATTTCACATCAAATTAACTGAGTCTCCATCTCTGTTAACTCTTGCAGGGCCAAAAGCGAAGGCTATCCTGAAACTCTCTGTTGCAACCAAGTGGCGTCCCTTCTTTGCAACTTCATACGGTCCTTCGTCTACCAAGAGTGCAAAGAGAGGAACTGAGGATGGCGCTGTCCGCGTGGGTCGTGGCCTTCATGGCCATCTTTCTATCCCATCAAGATGCTAGCGGTGGACTCATCAAGAGAATTATCCGGCAGAAGAGGGAAACGGGAATCAACGTGACACTACCGGAGGATAACCAACCAGTGGTCTTCAACCACGTCTACAATATCAATGTCCCCGTGGGCTCCCTTTGCTCCGTGGACTTGGATCCCCCCAGTGGAGACTCGGAATTCGCACTTCCATCTGAGCCAGGAAAACACTATCAGGAGCACACGTTGAATGAAGACAATCAGATTGTGTTCACGCACCGGATCAATATCCCGCGACGGGCTTGCGGGTGTGCGGCGGCCCCTGATATCAAGGAGCTGCTCAGCCGGCTGGAGGAATTGGAAGAGCTGGTATCTTCTCTGCAGGAACAGTGTGGCAGTGGGTCAGGGTGCTGTTCCAGTGCACAGACGGCAAAAGGTAAGTTGGGGGGACCCAGAAGCAAGGTGGGATGGAATAAAATAGAAGCACTAGAATTCCCAAACAAAAAATAGAACTAGAATTCCCAAAGAAAAATAGAAGAACTAGAATTCCCAAACAAAAAATAGGAGAACTAGAATTCCCAAAGAAAGAAATAGAAGAACTAGAATGGAGACAGCTCTAGAATATTCCATTTCAGGACCCTGGACAGCACTAAAAGTATTGGTCTGGTCACAGTGGTGGGATTCAATTTTTTACTACTGGTTCTGTGGGTGTGGTGTGACTTGGTGGGTGTGGCAAGGGAAGGGTAGTGTAAAATCTCGATTCCTTCCCCACTCCAGGGGAAGGATACTGTAAAATCTCAATTCCCTCTCCACTCCATGAGAAGGATACTGCAAAATCCCCATTTCCTCCCAACTCCAGGGGAAGGATACTGTAAAATCTCCATTCCCACCTCACTCCAAGGAAAGAATACTGCAAAATCTCAATTCCCTCCCCACTCCAGGGAAAGGATACTGCAAAATCACCTTTCCCTCCCCACTCTAGGGGAAGGATACTGCAAAATCTGCATTCCCTCCCCACTCCAGGGGAAGGTTACTGCAAAATCTCCATTCCCTCCTGATCAGCTGGGACTGTTCCCTTCCCAGCAAAGGTGGTTCTTAGTTTTCTACTTGCATTTTTACATGGTTTTGAACTGCTAGGTTGGCAGAAGCTGGGACAAGTAATGGGAGCTCACTCCGTTATGCGGCACTAGGGATTCGAACCGCTGAATTGCCGACCTTCTGATCGATAAGCTCAGTGTCATAACCACCGAGCCACTGTGTTCCTTGTATTTATTTATATATTTAAATAAATACTTTTGTATCTATAATACTGTACATACTTATGTACTGTAAAGCAGTATATGTCTAAGTGCTATTTTTTTCGGACAGGTACCATCGATGCTACTCCCTACTGCAGTGGGCGAGGAAACTACAGCAATGATGTTTGTGGTTGCATCTGTGAACAGGGGTGGAAAGGACCAAATTGCTCCGAACCAGAATGCTCACAGAACTGTAACGAGAGGGGCCAGTGCATCAACGGGCAGTGTATTTGTGATTATGGTTACACCGGCTACGATTGTGGAGAGCTGGCCTGTCCTGGGGACTGCAATGATCAAGGCAAATGCGTGGATGGGAAATGTGTGTGTTTCGATAGTTACGCCGGGGACGACTGCGGCCTCGAGGTCTGCCTGGTGCCCTGCAGTGAGTATGGCAATTGTGTGAACGGGCAATGCATCTGCATGGAAGGTTTCACCGGGGTGGACTGCAGCCAATCCCTTTGCCTTAACAACTGCAACAATCGGGGGCGCTGCGTGGAAGAGGAGTGTGTGTGCGACGAAGGCTACACGGGTGAGGACTGCAGCGAGCTCATTTGCCCCAACGATTGCTATGATCGGGGTCGTTGCATCAACGGCACCTGCTACTGCGAAACGGGGTTCACTGGTGAGGACTGTGGGGACCTGGCCTGTCCAAACGACTGTCACCATAACGGTCGCTGTGAGAACGGTGTGTGTGTGTGCAATGAAGGATTCACTGGAGATGACTGCTCTCTACAGAGATGTCCCAATGACTGTCACAACCAGGGACGTTGCATCAATGGGCAATGTGTGTGCAATGAAGGCTTCTTGGGACCAGACTGTGGCGAGGTGAGGTGTCTCAATGACTGCCAAAATCGGGGGCAGTGCGTGAATGGTCAGTGTGTGTGTGACGAAGCCTTCATGGGGGAGGATTGTAGTCAACTCAGATGCCCCAAGGATTGCAATAACCATGGCCGGTGTGTTGATGGGAAATGTCAGTGCAATGAGGATTACATGGGGGAGGATTGCGGGGATCTGAGATGCCTCCATGACTGCCACAAGCGCGGCCAGTGCGTCAAAGGGCAGTGTGTCTGCGATGAAGGCTTTGTGGGTGAGGATTGCAGCCAGCGCAGGTGTCCCAACGATTGCCACAAGCGGGGGAAATGTGTGGATGGCCAGTGTGTATGTGAAGAAGCTTTCACGGGCCTTGATTGCAATGAACTGCGGTGCCCCAATGACTGCAACAACCACGGGCGCTGCATTGACGGGCAATGCGTATGTGACGAAGGGTACACCGCTGAAGACTGCTCAGAACTGACCTGCCCCCAGGACTGCAACCATCGCGGCCGCTGTGTCAATGGGGTCTGTGAATGCAATGAAGGCTTCCTCGGAGAGGACTGCGGGGAGCTAGCTTGCGTCAACAACTGCAACAATCAAGGCCGTTGTCTGAATGGACAGTGTGTCTGTGACGAGGGCTTCACTGGCATAGACTGTGGCCAACGGAAGTGCCCCGATGACTGCAACAACAGAGGGCAGTGCATTGATGGTGTGTGCCTATGTGACGAAGGATATGAAGGCCCTGCTTGTGCGGAGCAGTCCTGCCCCAACAATTGCAATGATCTTGGTCGTTGTGTAGCCGGGCGATGTATCTGTGAAGAAGGCTTCATAGGTGACGACTGTTCAGATGGTAAGTTCTACCGAATCACAGAGTTGAGGGGACATATGGAGAATCTAGACATGGTTCCCTTGTGCCATTCCTATAATCTCCATCCGACACGTTCACACCATCTTGAGAATAATGGCGATTGTAGACAGGGTGGGCTTCAAAAGTTTTAGCAAGGGGTTCTTTGCCCGGTTGCTGGGTGGGCGTGGCCATGGTGGGTGAGGCCCAGTCAGCCTCCTCCACTGCAGGGGGGGATGTTGACCTCCCCTGGCTCTGGAGGCTTTCCTCAAGACTCCGGGAGGGCGAAATCGGGACTTTTTAAAAACGCCACGGGACAAATTGTTCAAAAGTGGGATCGTCCTGCCAAAAGCGGGACGTCTGGTCACCTTAGATTTGGGGGTTCTTTGAACTGTACAGAAACTTAGCTAGAGGTACTCCCGAACCCCTGGAACCCTCCCCCCATCAGCCTACCCCTGCCTTGGGGAGAAGAGGGCTGATAACTCTACATTTATAGCTCCAGCTGGTAGATTCCATAATTTTTTGCTGGATCCGTAGGTCCTTCTTTCATGTTGGGTTTCGGTTCTAGAAAGAAACGTTCCTTTGCTTCTTGGACTTCTCTGATGACTACCGTATTTTTGGGCAGTATAAGATGCACCTTTCCCCCCCAAAGAAGAGGGTGAAAATATGGGTGTGTCTTATACACTTTGACATCCCAAAATCCCACCCCCTTTGCAAAATGGACATGCAGGGGGTTTGGGAGGCCTGAAAAGTGCTCCTGCAGACTGGGGAGGGCAAAAATGAATGGAAAATGGGCCATTTTTGCTTGTTTTTGCCCCCGCTAGTCCCCAGAGCACTCTACAAGCCTCCTAAAGCCTATGCATGCCTTGTTTTTTGCAAAAAAAAAAAAAACCGGGCACATTTTCACAAAAAAACGGGCCATTTTTGCTTGTTTTTGCCCCACCCCCCAGCCCTCAGGAGCACTTTGCAGGCCTCTCAAACTCTCTGTGTGCCCCGTTTTTCACAAAAAAAATGAGGCGTGCAGAGAGTTTAGGAGGCCTGCAGAATGCAAAATTTACCTCTTCAAAATCTTGATGCGTCTTATATGGGTGCATCTTATAGTCTGAAAAAATCCGCTATTTTTAATTTTTCTTCTTCAAATCTTCACGACAGTATCTCCTCCAAAGGATTTGACGGTGACAGAAGTGACAGATAAAACCATCAACTTGGAATGGGCGAATGAAAATGTCGTCAGTGAATATCTCATCAGCTACATTCCAACCAGCATCGATGGCTTAGAACTTCAGTTCCGGGTACCTGGAAACAAAACATCGGCCACCATCCAGGAGTTGGAACCTGGTGTGGAATATTTCATCCGCGTTTTTGCCATCCTAAGGAACAAAAAAAGCATCCCCATTAATGCCCGGATTGCCACTTGTAAGTACTTTAAAGGCCAAGTGAGTCATTGAGGCTGTTAAATTTGGTATGTTTATGCTACATCAGTTAGCCTGTAAGTTTTGTGTGGCTTGAAGCAACTGTTGATAGAAGAAGTTGAGCAGCTCAAAACTTGACATCCAACCCAAGCTAGGCTTAAACTCTCTCCAGATTTTGGGTGTGGTTCATATTGGCATCTTCACCCTACTTAATGTAACTATGATTTAATATATGAAGAACAGTTGCAGGAACTGGGTATGTCTAGTTTAATGAAAAGAAGGACTAGGGGAGACATGATAGCAGTCTTCCATATCTCAGGTGCTGCCCCAAAGAAGAAGGAGTCAAGCTATTCTCCAAAGCACCTGAGGGTAGGACATGAAGCAATGGGTGGGAACTAATCAAGGAGAGATTCAACCTGGAAATAAGGAGAAATAGTTAGAACAATTAATCAGTGGACAACCTGCCTCCAGAAGTTTTGAGTGCTCCAACATTGGAAGTTTTTAAGAAGACGTTGGAGAACCATTTGTCTGAAGTGCTCTAGGGTTTTCTGCCTAAGCAGGGGGTTGGACTAGAAGACCTCCAAGGTCCCTTCCAACTCTGTTATTCTGCTCTAAAAGGGTAAAGATATAAAACAAATCATGTGGATCTGTGCTGAAACAGTCTTCTCTCCTTCTGCTTCTGGTTTCCAGACTTGCCTGCCCCTGATGGCTTGAAGTTCAAATCAGTTAAAGAGACCTCCGTGGACGTTGAATGGGATGCCTTTAATTTCCCTTTCCATGGGTGGGAGATTATCTTTAAAAGCATGGTAAGAAGGATTCTGACCTGGGATATCCTGCTTTCCTTTCCTGGCTACCTTCCTGTTTTCTCATGTTGATGCGTTTGCATTGCAGAAAGAGGAAGACAACGGGGCCATCCGAAGCAGTTTGAAGAGCCCTCAAACAACCTACCTACAACAAGGCCTTGCACCAGGACAGCAATATAATGTATCTCTGGTTGTCGTGAAGAATGAGATCAGAGGACCTGCTGTGTCAAGAATTGTAACCACAAGTAAGTAGCTGTGGAGGTACCTCAACCAAGAGATTGAGAGAAAGCCCATAGAGATCATCACTGCAACTGTCCATTGAGGGCTTTTAATCAAATCAAAAAGGACTTATTTAAGGATGGTTAGGAGCACCAGGAGATGGGACAATACATCTTTTCTAGGAAGGTAGTAATCTGTTCCTGATTTGGAATGATCAAATCTGATTCCACCATTTACATCCCACTCCAAAATGATGGAGCAGCACAGCAGCCACAACCAGAAGCACATCCCGCGTGTACCTTTCTCAAGGCTGTATCCGAGGTTACCCGCAACAATTGGAAAGGCATGATCTCTACAGCCTGCGAAAGGGCTCTGTTGGAGAATGTCATTTATGACACACCCTAGGGGAAGGGGGGAAACAGGGTCATAGTTGGGCTGTAAATTACGTGGGGTCAGTGCTGGCTTCACTTGGGTATGTGCCGACATGTTGCTCCTGATAAATAACTGGATTTGTTTTGAAGCTTGGCTCGAGGCTCATGATTTAATTAGGGCATCCGTCAGAACCATGACACTGCCCCAAAACGGAGAGCTGATTCCATTCAGAGTGCCATCAGATTGATTTGACACCTGCAGAGCCCTCCTTTTCTTTGCCTTTTTAGAAATAGGACAGCATGTGATTTGGAAGAGAAAGGACTATTTAATCATTAAAAAAGAAAGAGAAGAAAACATGGAAAGAAAAGTAGAGCAGAGTTCTTCAAAGTGATCAGCAGTGATGCCAAGGGTCAATGAGCATATCCAAGTGATCAATAGTTGTTGTCCTTATTCACAGTACGGTTAGTGAAGATAGTATTTATTCAATTACTAGCTAGATACCCATGCTTCATAATGAAACTATGGGCTATGCAGGAGAAATTCGATTTAGAATCCGTTGGCTCAGTGGTGGTCGGTGATTAAAACACATATATCGCTCCCACCGCCTTGAGTCTAGGTGGAAGGCATAGACATTTTGGTGAAGTACTGACGTTTAGCACTGTAAGGAGCCCCAGACCGCTCCTGAGTGAAGGAGTGGAACATCTGCCAATTTGAACTGAGGTAANTTCTTCTCCTCCTCCTCCTCCTCCTTCTCTCTCTCCCTCTCCCTCTCCCTCTCCTTCCTCTCCCTCTCCTTCTCCTTCTTCTTCTTTCTTTTCAATTAAAACCAGACCATCAGTTCTCGGACAGAGGGAAAACACATGCACACACCCACTCACACACCCCTTCGACGCAGAAAAAGAACAAGTCGTTAAGTCCACGCTTAGCAGCGTGCCATTCCTGTGCTTTCTCTGATCCCTTCCAGGGTCCTTCTCCTTGTTTGAATGGTTTGAATCTGTGCAAATGGGAGTTTCTCTGACAAGTTTCGTTTCGTTTGCTTTATTGCACATGGGACAATGAAATTAAACACCGTCTTCGGTGTGCATTGCAATTGTAAAAAATAAAAACACAAACACGCAGCCTTCCCATTCTACATCATTGAGATTGAAAACCCGACATTGCCCTATAGACCGTAGAATTCAATATGGTCCTTGCCCTCGGATAGAAGCTGTTTTTTTCAGTCTCTTTGTTTTGATCATCCTGATAATAAAGGCTGGGGAGGATGGGTTGAAGGAAAGAAGAAGCCGCTCTGTAGCATTTGGCTCGGCTTTCTAAACTTCCCCAGGCGTGTGTTTTCTGCTTTCGTGGCAGACGGTGGATTTTCTCTGCAGAACGTTTCCATTTCTTCGCCCCAAAGAACTTCTTCAAATGTGATATTACACGGTGTGGTATTTTGCAATGAGGTGTTTTGCAATGAACAGATGCTAAGAACAGTGATGTACAAACAAGCTGTGACTGCATCCAGTTGGATTTGAATAGAATAGAATATGGAGTGGAGTAGGAATAGGAATAGAGTAGAATAGAGTAGAATAGAGTAGAACAGAGTAGAATAGAGTAGAGTAGAGTGGAGTGGAGTGGAATAGGAATAGGAATAGGAATAGGAATAGGAATAGGAGTAGAGTAGAGTAGAGTAGAGTAGAGTAGAGTGGAATAGGAATAGAGTAGAACAGAGTAGAATAGAGGAGAGTAGAATAGAGTAGAATAGAGTAGAACAGAGTAGAATACAGTAGAGTAGAGTGGAGTGGAACAGGAATAGAGTAGAATAGAGTAGAATAGAGTGGAACAGAGTAGAATAGAGTAGAGTGGAATAGAGTGGAATAGGGATAGGGGTAGGGGTAGGGGTAGGGGTAGGGGTAGGGTAGAGTAGAGTGGAGTGGAGTGGAATAGGAATAGGAATAGAGTAGAATAGAATAGAGTAGAATAGAGTAGAATGGAGTAGAGCAGAATAGAGTAGAATAGAGTAGAGTAGAGTGGACTGGAATAGGAATAGGAATAGAGTAGAATAGAGTAGAATAGAGTAGAACCGAGTAGAACACAGTAGAGTAGAGTGGAGTGGAGTGGAATAGGAATAGGAATAGGAATAGAGTGGAACAGAGTAGAATAGAGTAGAGTGGAGTAGAGTGGAATAGGGATAGAGTAGAATAGAGTAGAATAGGGTAGAATAGAGTAGAGCAGAGTAGAATAGAGGAGAATCGAGTAGAGTAGAGTAGAGTGGAGTGGAATAGGAATAGGAATAGAGTAGAACAGAGTAGAATACAGTGGAGTGGAGTGGAATAGGAATAGGAATAGAGTAGAGTAGAGTGGAACAGAGTAGAATAGAGTGGAGTAGAGTGGAGTAGGGATAGGGAGAGGGGTAGGGGTAGAGTAGAGTGGAGTAGAGTGGAGTGGAATAGGAATAGAGTAGAATAGAGTAGAATAGAGTAGAATAGAGTAGAGCAGAGTAGAATAGAATAGAGTAGAGTAGAGTGGAGTGGAGTGGAATAGGAATAGGAATAGGAATAGGAATAGGAATAGGAATAGGAATAGGAATAGGAATAGAGTAGAATAGAGTGGAACAGAGTAGAATAGAGTGGAGTGG